CAGTTTGATGAACTATAACAGAAATCCATTATTCACATTGCACAATTTCACTTACTTGCCAGTCAATCTAGCAGTTCACCAAAAAATCCTCCCTCCAAAATTAAGGCTGGTTCACAATATTATGTTAGTCCTGACGTTACGTTGACGCTGGAATAGAGTTTGGTTCTATTCCAGCGGAAAGCATGCATCAAAAGGTCAAATTACCCACGCTTTTGATTAAAAATTGACAGTACGTTGGCCTAACGTCATATTGTGAACCAGCCTTTACTCATAGTAGCCCTTTTTGAGCCTTAAAGGTCATGTATCTTTGGCTAAAATAAAACTGAAAGAATAATAGTTATTATAGTATCCTTATCATTTACTATTTTACTGCTATTCTGATATGTATTGCAATGCATAGACTACTTTGATAGTTGGCCAACATGTAAAATTGGGGCGGAAAGGATGTTTTAAGTTGCACTGGCCCATCTACAAAATAAATCTTATTATTAATAACTATTGCTATCTTTTTATTTTTAGAACCATATTGATGTGCAACTTGCAGTTTCCTCCAGTGTAAACTGTATATTTCACCTCTTGCATCAGCCAATCCACTTTGATTACATGTTTCCTAAGGACTTCATCTTCTACTTTAATTTGGCTTATACAAACTATAGGTAGGCTATTGATGGAACTGATGCATGGAAATAAATGTTCATGTCAAATTTCCATAATAAATATTTGTAGAAATACACATGTAATTAATTTTATCTCTTTGCAGAATACCTCTAAGTATAATCTTGACCTGTATTTTAAGTTAACATACACTGTAGCCTCTACTAAATATTTTTTCATCCTTAGCAATGAATCTGTGGAGAAAAATGCTCATTTAGTTATGATTCGTTATTTACATGAATTGAAAAAGGTCCCAATTGAGACTGTAGCAGAGCAAGTGGAACAATTTGTAAAACTGTGAGTTGCAACAATTGTTTTTAGCTTTCATTTGGCCCTGCTAATTGCTAGTGGAGATTTTAAAGCAGAAATGAGTGGTATAACCAATTTGTCCAGTGTTTTTGAGCACACTGCTAGAGCATTCTCTAAGCATTGTGAATTATATTTTAAAGTAGGAGAAATTTCGGAATTGTTCCATGTGACTCTTCTATTAAGTATGCGAATGCCATTTTCAGTAATCTGACATTAATTCTTATGATTTCTTTATTTAGTTTCTATTGGTGTTAAGATTAATAATTTTTCTGATAAGAAATTGGCAAAGAAGTATGACCATATTTGGAACAAGAAATTTAATGATGTAAATGTACCTATACTGTACATTATTAATTATTGTTCAGTATTATAATTGTCAGTTCCTTTTTGTCAGTTACTGTTAAATGTAACATTTTTATGCTGCTGTGCTGCTTATTTTTATTTTACATTGTTCTAAGCCTCATTTTTGTTATGTAATTTTACTTTTTTGTGAATCTCCTTCAAATTTCCTATTTGTGCCATTAATTTCTGAATAAATCATTATTTTGTTATGTGATAAAACAAAATGGCTTTTATTTTGTACTTTTATTAATCAACTCAAATATATCACATGCATATGATAATACTAGTGATTTTAATATTATTTTTCTATTATACAGTATTACAGGTCTGGTTTCAATCAGAATGACTTGCTTTGCCTAGAAAAAGGACTGAAAGCAATGACAACAATACTTGAAAGCACTCCACATTTAATGTCTGAATGGAAAGATTTTAATTTCATTTTATCTAGCAAAGTTCACAGTTTTGAAGTTATGAAGTGAGGATTATGTAGGGAGGCTGACCTAATCAAGGCCTCTATCATATATTACATGTGCTAACCTATACTGTATAGGGGGTATTTTCCCGGGAAAATATATTTCACGAAAATCACCTTTCAACCTATTCACAAGAAAAAAATTGCTTTTTTTCCTACTGACCATTATTAGTATAATAAGAAATAATTTTCATTGATAAAAATTTTCAAAAATTTTTTAAAACTGTAAAATTAGTGAAATTAAATCCCTGTGAAATATACCACCTATACGGTATTAGAATACAGCTTTTGTATACCATCTGTTTGCAATGCATGGGCATGAATGCATAGGTTAACTTTATTAAGAATACAAGACCAAGAGTCTTGATAAGACATTAAGGGCTCTACCACTCAGGGCCTGACATATGTATGAACAGGCAAACAAGCCGAACAACCAGGAGCTTTGCCCAATAATTTCCTTTACTAGTTGAAACATAAATAGAAGTGACATACATATGCATACAAATAGACAGATAAACAATAATAATAATTATTGTCTATTAATAGATGAAACTGATACTCTCATTTTTTGATTTTGAAATATGACAGCCCCAAGGTCCCATGTCTGGTGCCCTTATGCATCAATTAGAGCATAACATTGCATGCAATATAATTTTTGTTTTGAATAGGAAATTTATTACTCAAAGTGTGAAGTATCTGATAAGATCAGGAGAAGATGTTTCATTTAGAATTGATTTTCTGCAGCCATTGACAGATATGTGCTTAGTTGCTTCACGCAGGAAAAAGATGGCAAGTCATTTCAGTGTTGATACTAATAATGTAATAAAAGAAGTAAGTCATTTGCATACATTTGTTACCCCAAAAATTTTGTGATTTTTGTGGCTTCACAAAAATTAATTCTCTTTTCATTAGGGAAAAAAATTTTTAGCATGCCTGATTTCATTAATTGATGAGCAAAAGTGGAACGGATATGACTACTATACAATACTTGAGAATTGGATGAAAATCATTTTTAATCTGATTGATCTATCAGAAGAATCACACAAATCTCAATTATTTCAATGGATACATGAGGGACAAATCAATTCAAGCTACTTTGACTATGAATATAGTTTTAACAAAGAAGTAAGAAATTGTTTACTTTTGAGTTTGAAATTTTTATTTATTTCATATTGTATAGTTAGAAGCATTATTTATTGTATATTTTACAGTGGAAATTTTGGCAGCTTGTGGGACAAAGTTATTGTCATTTGTTCTATGTATACCAAATTATAAAATTTTGTCTGAGATTCACATATTCTTCTAATAGCCTTTATTGTAACAGTTTTTATTGGCTCAATTTATTTCATATTCTATAACAATTTAATTTCTCAACTAGTCTACCTCACCTTTTCTTTCAGTGATTTGATTTATTTTCTATTATACAGTATTACAAGTCTGGTTTCAATCAGGTTGAGTTGCGTTGTCTAGAGGAAGGATCAAAAGCAATGACAATAATACTGGAAGGCTCTCCACATTTAATGGCTCGATGGAAAGATTTTTATGTCATTTTTTCTAGCAAAGATCACACTTTTGAAACCATGAAGTGAGGATTATGTATAGGAGGCTGACCTAATCAAGGCCTCTATCATACATTATTACACATTTACGTACTAGCCTATCTATAGGCATGAATGATGGTAACTTTAGTGCATGTGAGACATTAAGGGTCGGCCACTCAGGGCTTGACATACATATGAACAGGCTAACAAACAGAATGACCAGTGCCTTTGCCCAATAACTTTCTTTACTAGTTGAAACATAAGAAGAAGTGATATACATGTACATACAAACAGACAGATAGACAATAATAACAAATATTATGTACTAGGCGAATGTAAAACATTGAGGGGCGAGCAAAATGATTAACATTTCGATTAGCAATATACAATGTTTATATAAACAATGATCGACAATGATGTAGTGGCTATTAAATGTTGAATGTTGATGTCAATACACTAATGCAGAATTTGCAAGCATGGAAGGAATTTCATAGTTTCTAGCTTTGAGTGAAGAATCTCTGCAGTTATATAGATCTAGGATGGAAGATGGTTAGTCTCAGAAGCCAGAAGGAGACTCCATTTGCTGTCTTTGGGTGTGACAAGACCATCTCTAGCATTTCTCCGTATTGGACCTCCTCGCACTTTTCTCCTCCTCACGCTCATTACAAAGAAGTCGACGAGCTTCACGAGCATCTTCTTGTGAATTACTCATGCTTTAAGCTGCAGCTTCTCTTGTTTTTTGAATACTCTTGTCTCTTGAACTCCTCTCGTCCAGTGATTACTGAAGTTGCTCTTTGTTTTTGTATGTGGTACCGTAATTATCAAAATTATGATTTTAAAATGTGTGATTATTATTTTTTATAGACGCATAAATAGAGGTGACGTACGTGTACAAACAAACAAACAAACAAACAAACAGACAGACATACTCGAATCAACTATGTGGGGCTCGCTTTTGCTCGCCCCAATTAATAGATGAAACTAATGCTCTCATTTTTTGATTTTGAGATATGATAGCCCCAAGGTCCCATGTCTCTCTATGAGTGGGTGCCCTTATGCAACAATTAGAGAATAACACTGCATGCAATATAGTTCATTGTTTTTAATAGGGAATTTATTACTCATGTGAAGTATCTTATAAAATCAGGAAAAGATGGTTCGTTTAGAATAGATTTTCTGCAACCATTGACAGATATGTGCTTGAATGCTTCGCACAAGAAAAAGATGGCAAGTCATTTTAGTGTTGATGCTAATAATGTAATAAAAGAAGTAAGTCATTTGCATACATTTTTTACCCGAAAAAATTTGTAATTTTTGCGGCTTCATAAAAATTAATTCTCTTAATTAGGGAAAAGAATTTTTAACATGCCTTATTTTGTTAATTGATGAACAAAAGTTGAACGGACATGACTACTCTACAATACTTGAGAATTGGATGAGAATCATTTTTAATCTAATTAATCTATCAGAACAATTAGACGAATCACAGTTATTGCAATGGATACGTGAGGGACAGATCAATTCAAGCTACTTTGACTATGAATATAGTTTTAACAAAAAAGTAAGAAATTGTTTACTTTTGAGTTTGAAATTTTATTTATTTCATACTGTATAGTTGGAAGATTTCCTGTTAAGGTCTCAAAATTTGTCAGCCGAATCATTAGTTAGCATTTTAAGTGCAGTATCAAGTAAACATTTTGACAATGCTAAGGTTATTATTCATTTTCAAGATAATTTATGCATTCAGTATTATTCATAATAACCTGAGGAAATGATCAGAATGTTGTTGCAATGGCAAGTACCGCACCCAATTGTGGGAAAAGATTGCATGGTTACAATGGAAAATGCTTATTGCAAGGGCTTAGATGTCCTTCAGCAGAGGAGATACATTGAGAAACTAAGTCATCCACGTCTTGAAGATACAAACAACATAAATTTACCACAAAATAGTTAAATTTGTAGAAAACACTAGTAAAACAGCAGTAGTCTCCTTGCTCTCTTGAGTCTCTTCATTCCCACTACTCCACTAAGGTGGTAGATAGGTGTGGTTTTAATAAACCACGACCACACTGATTAATTAATTGACCTACCTTGCAGGAATGAAGTATGGCCAGTAATCGAAAGACATGTAAGTTAGCACTTTACAGCTTCTAATTTACTTTAATTTGTTTACAGATATTAGGATTAGGTCTAAAGCTCAGGCTAAAGAGCTTAAGTATCATGGTTACTTTTGCTGCGGTCCCAGTCTTGAAGCAATAGTCACTCCATGGTGTCCTCTCATACCACAAGATGCCCCACCTCCACACTCAGTGCCTTACATGCAAATGCACTTGATGAAAGAGTCTAGAAGTGATACTGTTGATGGCATATATCAGATATACAAAGATAGAGATAAACTTGAAGTTCTCTTCATTATTGCTAGAGAGGAGCAACAGCAGTCATTCTCACCTCCGGATCTTCGTTTTAGGATTATATTCATTTCAAGGAGACATAAAAACGATGTAATGGAACTGGCAGAGAAGGGAAGTGATCTTGAAGTTACAGTAAATATTACCGAGTCTAAAAATGAAGGTAAATACATGTACTGTACATGCTTATATGCATTGGATGTATTATTGATCCATTATATAGTTATTCGAGCTATAATGCCGCCAGAGTCCAAAAATTATACTACTTTAATTAAAGTAGTGCATTACGTTATTCAGAACCGTGTTACTGTGTCACTGTCTAGTGGAATTTCTGAATATCCAGATATTTGTCCTAAAGATAAAAGGGTTCTTTCATGCTTTTTGGGTTTCCTTTGCTATCAATCTTTGGAAGTACGTTTGGGTTTGTATTAATTATCTGCTGAGGTTTTATGCTTTATATTACATGTAAGCATATTTCTCTGTTTACAAATTTTTGACAATCAATTTTTGATTGAATTTTCCTAGATCTCAGATAGAAATTTTGGCAGTTTGATTAACTATAAAATGAATCCATTATTCACATTGTACACGAAATTTCACTTACTTGCCAGTCAATCTAGTAATTCACCAAAAAAATCCTCCCTCTAAAATTACTGATAGTAACCCTTTTTGAGCCTTAAAGGTCATGTATCTATGACTAAAATAACACTGAAAGAATAATAGTTATTATAGTATCCTTATCATTTACTATTTTACTGCTGTTCTTATATGTATTGTAATGCATAGACTACTTTGATAGCTGGCCAACATAAAAAATTGGTGCGGAAAGGATGTTTTTAGTTGCACTAGCCCATCTACAAAATAAATCTTATTATTAATAACTATTGCTATCTTTTTATTTTTAGAACCATATTGATGTGCAACTTGCAGTTTCCTCCAGTGTAAACTGTATATTTCACCTCTTGGATCAGCCAATCCACTTTGATTACATGTTTCCTAAGGACTTCATCTTCTACTTTGATTTGGCTTATACAAACTATAGGTAGGCTATTGATGGAACTGATGCATGGAAATAAATGTTCATGTCAAATTTCCATAATAAATATTTGTAGAAATACACATGTAATTAATTTTATCTCTTTGCAGAATACCTCTAAGTATAATCTTGACCTGTATTTTAAGTTAACATACACTGTAGCCTCTACTAAATATTTTTTCATCCTTAGCAATGAATCTGTGGAGAAAAATGCTCATTTAGTTATGATTCATTATTTACATGAATTGAAAAAGGTCCCAATTGAGACTGTAGCAGAGCAAGTGGAACACTTTGTAAACTTGTGAGTTGCAATAATTGCTTTTTGCTTTCATTTAACCTTGCTAATTGTTAGTGGAGATTTTAAAGCAGAAATGGGTGGTATAACCAATTTGTCCAGTGTTTTTGAGCACACTGCTAAAGCATTCTTAAAGCATTGTGAATTATATTTTAAAGGAGGAGAAATTTCGGAATTGTTTCATGTGACTCTTTTATTAAGTATGTGAATGCTATTTTTATTAATCTGACATTAATTCTTATCATTTCTTTATTTAGTTTCTATTGCTGTTAAGATTAATAATTTTTCTGATAAGAAATTGGCAAAAAAGCATGACCATATTTGGATTAAGCGATTTAATGAGGTAAATGTACCTAGACCATATTACTATAATTGTGAGTTCCTTTTAATATACATGTAATTGTCAGTTACTCTTGAATGTAACATTTTAGTGCTACTAGGTTGTTCTAAGCCTCATTTTTGTTATACATACATGTAGTGAACTGATTTAACTTTTTTGTAAATCTCCTTTAAAGTTCTTATTCTGCTGATTGCTTGTGTCTGCTTGTGCCATTAATTTTTTAAATAAATCGTCATTTTGTTATGCAATGATACAAAATGGCTTTCTTCTTGTACTTTTAGTTATCAACTGAAATGGATTACATTCATGTGATAACGCTAGTTATTTTGATATTATGTTTTTATTATACAGTATTACAAGTCTGGTTTCAATCAGAATGACTTGCTTTGCCTAGAGAAAGGACTGAAAGCAATGACGACAATACTTGAAGGCTTTCCTCATTTAATGTCTGAATGGAAAGATTTTAATTTCATTTTATCTAGCAAAGTTCACACTTTTGAAACCATGAAGTGAGGATTATCCTCTGCATGATAGTAGGCTGACCTAATCAAGGCCTCTATCATACATTATTACATCACATTCATCTACTAACCAATAATAGAATACAGCTTGTTTGCAATGAATGAGGTTAACTTCATTTAAAATGTACATAAGACATAAAGGGTTTTACCGCTCAGGGCCTGAAATATGTATGAACAGGTAAACAAGCCAAACAACCAGGAGCTTTGCCCAATAAATTTTTTACTAGTTGAAACATATAAATAGAAGTAACATACATTTACATACAAATAGACAGATAAACAATAATAATAATTATTGTCTACTAATAGATGAAACTGATGCTCTCATTTTTTGATTTTGAAATATGACAGCCCCAAGGTCCCATGTCTGGTGCCCTTATGCATCAATTAGAGCATAGCATTGCATGCAATATAATTTATTGTTTTTAATAGGGAATTTATTACTCAAAGTGTGAAGTATCTGATAAGATCAGGAGAAGATGTTTCGTTTAGAATTGATTTTCTGCAGCCATTGACAGATATGTGTTTAAATGCTTCACGTAAGAAAAAGATGACAAGTCATTTCAGTGTTGATGCTAATGATGTAATGAAAGAAGTAAGTTATTTGCGTACACTTGTTACCCCCCAAAATTTTGTGATTTTTGTGGCTTCACAAAAATTAATTATCTTTTCATTAGGGAAAAGAATTTTTAGCATGCCTGATTTTGTTAATTGATGAGCAAAAGTGGAACGGATATGACTACTATACAATACTTGAGAATTGGATGAAAATCATTTTTAATCTAATTGATCTATCAGAAGAATCACACAAATCTCAATTATTTCAATGGATACATGAGGAACCAATCAATTCGAGCTACTTTGACTATGAATATCACTTTAACAAAGAAGTAAGAAATTGTTCACTTTTGAGTTTGAAATTTTTATTTATTTCGTATTGTATAGCTGGAAGATTTCCTTTTAAGGTCTCAAAATTTGTCAGCTGAATTATTAATCAGCATTGTAAATTCAGTATCAAGTGAACGATTTGACAAAGCTAAGGTTATTTATAGTTTGTACTTCTCACCTTACCTTATTTATATCATGTTAGACAATTACTGATTTTCTCGGAAAATCTGGGGTCCACAAATCACTTCTTGATGAGCCTAACTGTCATCTCATAATTCTTGCAGTGGCTATGTATGTTTTTTGTTAATTATCATAAACATACATGTACAGCTAATATTGTTCATGCATTTTTTTAGAAGTTTAAAAATTTCAAAATTAGCTGGCTTTAATATAATTGCATAAATAATACAATAGGCCTTGATTATTTAACAGAGGAAAACTTGTTTTGTTTAGATAGGTTAGATAAAAAAGATTTATTCACTGTACTTCTTCAAATTCCAAAACCTAGTTTTAGTAGTGCACATATTGTGTCTCTCTTATTCATTTTGTCTTATGTGTTTTAAATGCTTTTGTTCTTTACTCTATCATTATTTCAGTGTTTCAGATACTTCAGAGTTAATTACATACTTCAAAACTTTGATGGAAGCCTACACAAAATCGCACAAACCACTTGATTTCTTCATTGACTTGATGTCACTTACTCTTCAGCCATCAGAAAAATTTGAAAATGACTTAATGAAGTTTCTTCGAGGTTATATTTCTAGTTCAGCTTTACAAAATCAACTAAAAGAAAATTTTGAGAGATTTTTTGTAAGCTTTTATGTATCTATATATTGTCGCTTTTTATTACTTATATGTATTACTATAGTTTGAGAACCTGTTGCACGATAACTCTTTAAATTTAGTCATAATGAAAGAAATACTCAAGGTAGGTGGTATTGAATAAAATGATGTATAGCTACATAAATTAGTCTCATCTTTTGAAATGCAGACCAATATATTTATGTTTTGCAATACTTTTGGAGGAGGATAGTTTCCATATTGGTGAAGATAAAATGGAACATGTGCATGCTCAGCATGAAATTTGCTGACCAATCATCAAAAATTTAGTAATTTGCAATATTAACCCCCTCAAAATGATATGCATGTATTTCAATGAAATACATGTACCTATATTTTCTTTGCACCTAATGCATGCATGCATGCAATGACATACGTGCAACTCTGCAGCAGTGCACCATGTATAGTTGCCTTGTGCATGTCATATGTATTTTTATACTTAGGAATCACTAGCAGTATTTGGAGCTGATGTAATATTGGCCAGTATGAAAGATTTTTTTACTACTGTTGAGATAAATATTGTCACTTTTTCATCAACTACCATTAGAGCTGCTTTATTCATTGTACACTCTGAGCTACAGGATGTCGAATTCACAGACCTTAGCTGCTACAAGAAATATTTTCTTCCTCTCAATGTCTTTTCGCAAATATTTAAGATAATGTGGACCACCTTCACTACAAACAAAACGATTTCCTCACTTCGTTATTTTGAAATAGAGGTAGCGGATATTCCTGAGATCCAACCTGCTATTGAAATGATTCAGTCTCTTAAAAAATTTGTTTCAAATACCATTAGTCATGTTAGAGCGAGAAAAATCACTTTTGATGATATTGAAGCAATTGTTTCAGGATATGAAGCATACGAATCTGTTTATAACTGTATTGCCAATGTGTTTGGGGATGTGGTAAGAGGAGAAACAATTTTAAAGAAGGAAATGGAGCAATTTCAATCAGAATATGATGATCTTGTGTCCAGTATTAATTGCCTTTTGGTGACAAAACCTAAAAACCTCCCTAGTTTAGCAAAGTTAGTGTATAGCTGTTTAAGACATTAGTTTTGTATTTTCTTAATGATATGCCATTCTGTAGTCAGAAGGTAATTTGGCTCATTTTCTCATCTGTGCCTGCATACTTACACCCTATTTATAATCAGTGTTATATGCTTACATTATTGACATGCACTTGTCTAGATCTGATGGTAATTTTGTAACAGTTGTAATTTCATGTATTTTGCTATGCACACCTATAATACTGGCTTTTTAATTTAGGCTGACTGTGAAATCAGTCCTTGCTGATTATAGTATTCCATTTCCAGACGATTTGGATGCTGAACTTAATTCTACTGTTTCTGATTCATCACGTCGCCTTATTGAAAGTGAAGAATCACAGGAATTTGTGGTAGTTACTTACCGTGCAGTCCAAGGATGTACACTTGCCACTCTTGAGGCTTTTTCTAAGCACTTAAAGGTTTTTCTTGAGCCTTTGAATGAATCCATGAATGTTCTTGCTTTTAACAGTTTGCACAAATCACAAATTCTCAAGAAATGTATTGAGCATTTCCTGAAAAAATCTAATGATTTTGATTCTACCGAGACCAAAATGAAGAAATTAAATGATGCTGTGAAAAAGGCCAATGAATTTCTAGGACAGCTAGTAGATGATGGTTTGGGGCACTCGCTTCTAATGACAAATGTCATTAGTGTTTTTAAGCCTGAAGACCTCACAACACTTGACCTGCCAAAAGAAAACAAGGAGCTTAGTCAGTTTTACAAACTAAAATGTGGTTACCTGATACACGTTGACATTACTGAGAAGCTGACAGTGTTTCTGGAGCTAGATTATGTTTGCAAGCGATCTAACAGTGTACACAATGTCTGCTGTAGCTTTGGACTGAAAAATTGCTTTAATGATTCTGTTCTGCGTTATCTTTTGCAGCTTTCTTTTACTGTAACTGGAGGAAAATCAGTAAACCTGGATGAAGCAAAAGGGCATGTACATTTTATTAAAACAACATTCAAAATAAAAGAAAGCATTAGTCTAATTGATCATCCCTTGTTTGCCTTGTTCTCACATTTGGAAAAAGGCTGCCCACTTTATAACTTTGCTTTGGAACGGGGCTATGGCTCAGAAGCAGGCATGGACACTTTTATGCAAGAGCATAGCCTTGTAACAGCAGACCTTCTGTTTGAGGAGTTCCATGAAGACGTACTAGCAATGCTTATAGCTGCTATGGAGCTTATCATTCCTTTCTTTGATAAGACCTGTAATTTAGCCCAATTATGGGAGAACATTCGAAAACTTGGAAATGTTGAGGCTGCTATTGCTCAGTTGTTAACAGTTAATGGAAATATTGATTATGTAAGAAGTTGGTTCAATCAAGCTAATGTAAGTAGCAAATTTAATCAAATTAAT